GTCACCAAATTTCACAATTTCAAAGTTCGTGCATGCAGGCAACTCAGTTTTTAGAGCTTACCTCTCCCGTTGCTACCAACAAACACATTCAATAAAAGAAATGAATGTCTTCCACTCAATACGCAATACCTGCTTCTGTGTTGAATCAGCAAATATGTTGCCATTTACAATTTTGCATTTTCCTTTTCATCGTAAATCACAAGAAAATGTGCAACTTCGTTAGGCTGGCCTTTTTAGGTTAGCGATGTCATTTGTTGGAATTTCTCCTGACCAGAAGCGCTCTACTGAAAGTGGCGCGCCGCATTGTGCATGGAAAACACCTGATGGTGAACCGTGACCGTGGTGGTGGGCGGGTGGTCGATGCGTGTTGGGTGCGAATGCCGTTCTGCCATGATTATGTGAATGCCTGCTCAGCAGCTTTTAGCTGGTTGCTGGCTCAAAGATGTCCAGAAGTCCGCCAAATTGAACTGAGCCTGGTCCGAACTGGTCCGAAACGGACCAGTTTGGTCAGCGTCCTACCGTGGCAGGTCCATGGCCTCAGAATCCTTCTTGAGGACTTGCTTTTGACACTGTGTGTGGTTTGTCACCGAGGTGCAAGTTCCAGAAGCAAACGGTGGCGAAAAAATAACGGCAAGGATGTCACTGCTTTGGTCAACGGAAATCTTGAGCTTTACGGTGCGCGTTTTGCGCAGCCGTGTGCCGAATGCAGTGCCGTGATTACAATTACGACTGTCCCAAATAAGCCAAAAATGTAATATGTTTTGTACAGTGGGCTTTGAGTGGCTTTGTCGCCTTTGCTCACCAAAAAGCAGACTGTGCCCTTGTCTTTGCGTACAAAATATGAAGGAATGTTTCTGTTGTAATGTACACGACCGTAACATTACTTTTAAAGCATGCCCACACACTTGGGCGTTACAAAACAAAAACAGAAAAGCAATAGCGTATGGTTCAATGGCATTCATAGCAACTGCAAAGTACGGGGATATGGGCTTATTAGTTTAGTTTTGCCGGTACTGAGAATTTATTTCGAACAATTACTTGTATCAGCATGCCGAAGGCTACACGGTCGCGCACAAAACATTTTGTGATAGGCCAACCGGCTCTTCTGTCCCACCACCAACCGCCGGCTACGCGAAAGCCTTGAGCTACATCAGGTGACTGGGCGAATGGAAGAGAAATCTCACTAATACCATCCTCAAAACCGCGACGGTAGAAACCAGGGAGCTGTGGACCAACGAAGCGATCACTGTTCATGATCTAAAATACGTGACAAAATTGATCGAGAGGGATTAATATTATCCCACCAAAGCTACCAGCAAGAAATCAAAGAAAGAGAGTGACACAGCAACGCCGCCATCGCGAAATTCAACAAGCTTCTTGATGTCGCGAAATGCAAGGGCAAGCCTCAGTGCAGCTTTCCATGCCCAGTTGCCGGCGCAGTGTATCAGGAGGAGGTTGCTTTGGAGGACCAGTGCAAGCACCGGAAGCTTACCCTGGAGTCATATGGCCGGGGTACGACTGGGACTAGGGAGGCTCGCGGGGTGCGGAAGATGGCCAGACAACTGCAAGGGCGTCGGGGCTCGGCCGCCGCTGAGGCGGTGTCTATTGCTGAACCTGAGTCGCCTTCCTCGCCAACTGCTGAGCCCGTGCCGCCTGCTGAGCCAGCGCTGGCTGCTAGTGCTGACTCCGAGTCTGCTCCAGCACCAAGTGTTCTCAGCGCAGGCGAGTCAACCGAGAGTACGGATTCTTGCACTGTTCCGGACATCGTAGAAGGTGGCGACGACACCAATTATTCGTTCCGGTTGAGACCACTGACACTGTAGATTATAACGTTAACGATCTGACTAACACCGCTCTGGCGGTTGACAGCTACGATGGCTCGAACCGGGCCGCTGTTGCTATCATCGCCTTGAAACAAGACAGCAGAGACGGACTGGCCACTTGAAACCGAATATCGTAGATCTTAAGATCTGCTGCGCAAGAGACAGAGAGAGAAAGGAGACGGCTCGTTAAAATTTTGAAGCAATCCACGAGTCAGGTTTGATCATCCTCTACTCCGACGGCCACGAAGGCAAGAGCTACATGAACCACATGGAGCCAGACGAATGCCGCCGAAAAACACCTGGTTGTCATCACTGAGCCGGGCAGTCGCTACGTGACTCATTTTACGTCCGAGTTCGGCCGCGCCCTGCACTTGTTCAACGGGCTACACTCCGCGAGTCCGCACTGCGACGGTCACATCAATGTGCTTGACTGCGATGGCACGGCCGTCAACACCAAAACAATAGGCGACGTGTTCCGGCTGTTAGAGCTGGCCACGGAGTCACCCGTACACTGGCTCATCTGCCAGCTGCATGGCAACGAGTTTAACCTCCTACATTTGCTGCTGAGCTTGGACGGCACAACCATGGGATCGAATTTTTTATGGACCCATCGGCAAGACCTGTGCCGGAGAGGTCTGGGAGAGGGACGTTGTGTCATTCAAGCCTTGGTCGGGGCACGTGCCCAACCTGCCGGTCGACCTGATTCAGCAGCTGAGCACCAACCACCAGCTGCTGTACCTTCTGGCATCCGGCGTTCAAAACGGCTCTGTCCGAAACGTGGCAGCCCACCAATAAATAGGACCATCGAAGCATGACAGGTAAATATGAAAACGCAATATCTTTGAATTTATAGCAGTGTTCAAAGCTCATCAAATATAAATTGATATTTCATGTGGTCATCGTTGAGCAGTTACTTATTATCATACCGTGTGACGAAGTATGTCGCATCATTTGCTGGTTGGTTCATGCTTACTAGCATGTTTGTGGATGTGTATTCCGTCACATTTAAGGACCCTGGATATCGTTATAATGATATACGCTAAAGAGATGCAATAATTTTTGCATGATGTAATGCTCAGTTCGTAACAAATTGTTCTAATCCATTCGCTTTTATTTTCAGATGCTTGACACTGGCCGCCCATCTACTCCTAGTTCACATCTCTACCGAGACCTCCAGCAGCGCTCTCAAAGGCCTCGTCCAGTACGTAGTCGGCCATTATGTGTCGGTATGATCCGCCATCCGGCAAAACAGCTGCTACAACTTTGGCTTAGGCGACTTGTTCCGGGGTATCGCGCTGCTCCGCGACCTGTCGCAGCACACATAGGCCACGGTGCACCAAGCCCTCCAGCGTAACGGATACTGGGTCCGTCCGGAAAAGCTGCTGCTGGACATGGTGTGAGATGAGAACCGCATGGTCCGCAGACAGGCGGTTCCGATCGTCGCGCCGCTCGTGTGCAGCAAACCGAGGGTCTTCTTCAGCCCAGGATCTTCGCCATCTCAGCAGTAAACTTCGAGGCCGTGAGGTACATCGAAATGATCCCCTGACACGGACCGGTCACACAGCCTCCACTGCGAGACCTCAGCGACCACGGGCTGCGGAACAATAGTGCAGGCACCGCCGGCCATTTTGCCCTATCTGGTTCACACTAGGAGTGCGACGCAGCGCCGCACTGCCGAGGACGTTTGCGGCTGGAGCTGGAGCTTCGGCAATATGTGGAGTCCAGTTGCGAAGGTATATGTGCTACCGTGCGATATCTGCCAACACGCGTTTTGAGTTTCCAATCTGTGAGCAGCTGCTGTTTGGGCCGGTGCATCGAATACACGGGCTCCACAAGGAGCAAGACGTGCATGGGCTAACCCTACCTCCCCATCCCCTCTCTCTACGTCCGTGGTACAGGCTGCAGAACTTGCTTGCTGTGTGCATTAAGTTGCACACCAAACAATATATTTTGAGTCATATGCTATACATAGCTATGTTTGCATCACGTGAGTTGTCTTAGAGAAGTGAAAGTCGAAAGCAATACTAACCACCATACTCGTACGAGAACATATTCAACAGCACATAAGGTTCCCGCCAAAGGGCAATCAATCGGGCAATGTTTGATCCGCATATTATACCTTATAGCGGGACATTCTCGCGCGATGGCTTATGGAGCGCTCGGCAGCGTCCTTTTTATACACAAAGGTATTTTGTCGTTTGCCACCCACGGCCCGGCGTTACCCGCGGCGGCGGACGCCGCCCAGCATAGGTGACTGCAACGCCGGACTTCGGTTTACGGCGATATTTCGATCGACTCGCGCCTCACGAATTTAAGTTTTGGGAGGAACTTTTGCTACGCCGTGTGCTTTTGGACTCTTGCGCCAAACGATTTCTTTGTCTCACGTGGTTCTGTTACTGATGATACACCCTCATGATCGGAGCAAAAAGATCTGAGATACAAGTTGTCTGCAAGCAACAATTTGGAGAATCTGGTGACTTGACACGACCTAGGGCTAACAAATTTACAACTGCGAGAGAGAATCCGGTATAGCACATCCAATGGTGAAGATTTCGTGGGATCATCTTGTTTTGTTTTCGCGGCGGCATTCATTTCGGTGCATGATTTTGTGGTGTGGTGTGTGGAATAAACAAGTGTACACACGCAGTTATGCGAATGCCGGGATGTCTTAAAACGGCGAAAAATGGTATCACTGCTGCTACTTAGATATAATGGAATTGTCGCTACAGTGCACGACTACCTCCCCCATATAGCCCAGACCAGATCGCGTGCAAAGCATTCCCACTCATCGAAGGGTGGCGGGAAACTCGTGGCAAAATGGAGCAAAATCAATGACCGGGCAAGCCTCGGTTTGTCATGCACTTTAAAAGCTTAACAAGCACAAGGTGGATTCCATCCTCTGTACTTTTGCCATCTAGATATACCGCGAATCTGTCCCAGCCTGGTTCGCGTCGGTAGAAATTTCAGGCTCCTCTTCGCTGCACATTTCACCCATATGAAAGATATGCACTAATATCGTGTTGATTGCGTTTCTCGCATCCCAGAAACTGGATTCACCAGTTGCACGACAGGAGCGCCAGTCGGGCGCCCACAGACACGCAGATGCTGGATGAGAAGCCAGATATCGCTTCCAGCTGTCACACCTGCGTCCACTCATCCAAAGCACCACAAAACGCATCATTTTCAGAAGGTTTATTCTGATGAGACCAGGCGAAACTATGATCTATGCACGTCGAAACTAACTGATGAGTAAAATGCAATGATGTCATCGGGCGCGTAGCGGGAACTGCGACTATCGCGCGTCTGGCGGTGCAGTCCCGCTCCGGCGGACGGCGCAGATGAAGGCGGCCTCTAGTTAAATAAATAGGCCCAGACCGAGGACCAGCCGTTCCGGGTGGTGAGGACGGCACGGGAGCCGACTTTCCTGTCCAATGTCGCCGGCGCGCCTCTGAAAACGCCCGTTCAACTCGAGGTCACCACGCCCGCCCCAAGATCTCCTGAACAACTGTCTAGCGTTTGTACACGCACGTGCGCGCGCGTCGGAGCGCGCCACAAACCCCCTATTACTCGTCATCATCTTCGTCGTCCTCATCCTCCTCGTCTTCATCGTCTTCCGGAGGAGCCTTGCTCGCCGCACCGCTCTTGTACGCAGCCATCTCCTGCAGGTGGCATTGGCAGTAAATGACACGAATCAAGTTAACGTCAACAGTCAGGCCTCGAGCATAATGAAAGTTCAGCCAAGCAGACCACCATAAATGAGGCGCCAAAAGCATGAACTTTTCGGTGCCCGTCGCGGTCCAAGAACTGACAAACCGGAAGACTTCCGCTATATTATAGAGCAAAGAACATTTCCGCAATTTTATACATTTCAGAACCATCTTACCAGGAACTGTCCCAATTCCATCTTGTGATCCATCTTACATAGACTGCCTTATATCCAGTGACATTATCTGTACGAACTATCCTAATACTATACACTTTTGGACTAATATGAGACAATATCGGAACTGTCCATCGGAAACACCTTATATACTAACCATACACTTAGTTAACTGCATCATATCTATATCATACAACAAAGAATACTTATCACGTACCCGGCTATATCTCGCTTTGTCCTTCTCGGCCATTAGTTCGAACTTGCGCCTGGCCGCTTCGTCGGTCTCAGCCCATTTCTTGCCAAGTGCTTTCGCCAGGTCACCGACGCTGTGATCTGGGTGGGCAGCCCTCAGTGCCGGTCTTTCATCGTTGCAGAACCAGAAAAACGCCGACAAAGCGCGCTTGGGAGCGTTCGGATCTTTGGTCCTACGCTTTCCCTTGCCTTTCTTGCCACCGGGAGGAGGAACGTAGGTCCTCATCTCAGCCTCATAGCGCGTCTTGTCTTTGTCGGCCATATCAACGAAGCGTTTCTTCTCCTTGTCGCTCATCACCTGTGGGTCATTCAAAATACGCACGCTTTATGCCGTGGCAGAAGATTTTGGGCTTCGTTCGTACAACATACCGATCAGCCCTGCTAGCACCTTTAAATCATCATTAAACTTAATTACTTTCAGAGTAATGTGCACATCCCGAGGCACCACGTAGTTGATTGAAAATGTCACATCCTTTACGAAACACTTGAAACGGCATGGCCGCTGACGCTGTTATTTTTCGACACGACCGCAGCCGACCGGGTTAATACACAGCGGGACGGGTCTCGAACCCGCCAGATTTCGGATGACCCTGGCATTTTATCGCCAACATTTGGCGTCGACGCACGAAAACCCAACAAGTAACACACACACAGGGGCTTCGGCTCCGCGTATGACTCATGCTTTACTGAGTGCAAGCGAAAGACCACATGAAACAGTTTGAACAAACTGGAAAGTTAGTACCACCTACCTTCCATCGCTCAGAGCACTTCTTAGAGAACGCTGAGAACGCAATGGCTTCATTCGGGTGCTTTTTGCGGTGTTCCTCACGGCATGTTTGCACGAAGTAGGCGTACGAGGACATACGCCCACGGGGTTTATCCGCCTTGGCACGAGGCATGTTTGCAGCGGATCTGAAAATGAGCAGTTGATTAAGTTGGAGATCGGTTTAGCGCGCCCGTCATCAATTCGGTCGACCAACGACGCGTGGAATTTCACCAAAAACAACTAATTCTTCAGCACAGGTAGAGCGCGATAAGAAAAATAACACTGAATGCGGTACCTAGTGTAAATCGCTCTACATAATGTCCTACGTCTGTCGATATCAGATAAAGCATCAGATGCAGTAAAATAAGCTCACTATTAGTATACTTTGATAAAAACCGCCCTAGACAACATTTCTTTAATTAGTAAATATGCTCCTCAACACGCCAGTGCTAAAAATCAACGCCATCCTACCTTGCACCACATTGGTTGAGGCCCGATCAACTGTCTATATCTATAAAAGACATGTATATATATATATATATATATATATATATATATATATATATATATTGAATATTTATTATGGCAGCACGAGTGCATCTGTGACCTTGGAAAAGTTTTCCGAAGAACAATTCGTGGGACGTCTCCATGCCGTCACACATCTCTGCAAGACTTCAAAAGAGATAGCGCGAAACATTCTGCACAAGTCTGCGTGCGATGCGCTCGTGGACGAGATTTGAAGCCTTAAAAAGCCCGTAACTGTGAATTACGGGATATGATCTTCAAAATGGGTAACTCGGTTGAAAGGCCAATGCAAATGTGGAAGTCTCTTTCAATGAAACAGAAGGAAATTGGTTAAAGGGAATGTTTTACAGTTGAAGACAATGAAGCAAACGTTCAACTACAGGTTTACTTTTCAAAAATAGAAAGCACTGCTCTAGACAGCACGACTCCCAGTTTAGTGAATATGCTCTTCAGTGCGTAATGGTTTCATACGTCACCGCACCTTGCGCAACATGGATTAAGTCAACTGACGGCCATTTGATCTGGAAATCGCGCTCACGAACGCCTCATGTGAACGCTTGCACAAGTATATTTCATTGGCCTCAATCGCCGCATGGCATATGGAATCGCATGATCTGAATGACGTCATTATGACGTCATGCACGCCAAGGTGACTGAAATATTCTCCCCCATACACCTTTCCCCATTTTTGCGGCATGTAGCTAAGAAACTAGAGGGGCTTAGGTTTTACGAGGGGCGAGATTGTAAACATCACTGAAAGGTCTTCGAGATGGCTATTTCAGTTTAAAGCACCAAATAAATGTGGAAAACTGCCTTAATCACTAGCCACCCATCAAAAGCACGGCTTGAACCATCCAGCACTAACATATTACCAAGGTGTGCTTGATAACCTCGGTACCCATTGCGCCGTAACACCAGAAATGAGGCCCTTCTTGCTTATAGCAGTTGAAAACATGGACTACAGGCTCTCGTTACAAAAACATTTTTATCACACCGCGAAAAAAACACGCCTGATCTGTGGCATATTGTCCCAAGATCGTTGCATCCCCACTCAACCGCGGTAGTTGGTAATTTAGCGGGAGTGCGTACTTTTGGTACTAGCACTCAGCATTCCTGCATCAAATCGATAACTTTCTCTAAGCTATACGCGTAAAGCCCATTATTTCTGCCGGGCAGGCTAAACTGAGAACGACACCGCGGGCGAGCTCGTTCCTTGGTTTTCAGCGACCTCCATTTTCCGCCAATCGAGTAGAACTCCCACGGCGTAACATCAACATTTCTCTGAGCCTATCATTACGCGGACTTTCCGACCTCCCAGTCATGCGGCCGATTCCGGATATCGCAAATGCGTGTAAAGTGATAACGCGTGTAAAACAAAATGCGTGTAAAACAAAACAAATAAAAGATACAGTCATATCACAATATCCATCGTACAACCTAGCACTGATTTGACTGATAAAACTGCCGGCACGCAAACATTTATAATGCCGATCGAAATTTAGTCTCAATTTTATTCATACTACGGCTTAGCTCTCGTAATCGATGATCGCCACTGCTTGTATAATGCAGCACTAACTTTACTTACATCCCTCCCAAACATTTTGAGCCAGTCACAGAACCTATTTTAACTCAAAAGGCATACTTTATCGACACACCTACGCAACATCGCCTCTACTCTAGGCTTCCAACTGAAATTAATAAACACGACCGCATATCTATTTCAGCTAGCTTATATGTAACCAAAGCCTTGCTGACTCATGTAGAAGTATGACATACGTGAACGCGACTACAGTAGTCGATATTTCCGAACCCAGCCGAGTAGTTAAAAGTTTATGTTATCACTGGCCGCCTACCCCTTCCCATAACAATCCCATGCTTGAAAATGACCGCGGCAAGGACAAAAAACCTTTCGCGGGACCGGCCGTCGCAAACAAAAGTAGTAACACGTCGTAATTATTTGGAGGACCGTTTGCCCACCGTATCAGAAACCTGTGCGTCCGTGCCTTGCACGACCCGTGATTGCATCGCTACGTCGGCAGGTTCGCTATATCGGTTTGCTCCCCACCAGCAACCTTGTGTTCCCCCGTCTTGCGGCTCACGAGGCAATTTTCGCGGTAACAGTTCGTGGTGCGAAGTCCTTGATCCAGTTCCTGGTGACTTATTCAAGGCTGGTGAAAATACTTCTTTTGCCTTTCCCCGCTTTGCAGGCTATAAGCACGGCGATGGTCTGGTTATAACCAGCTATAACAGATTTTCATTCTTTCCACGTTTAAAGAGAACGCCCTTTTCCAAAAGTTGTGCGAAGAATCCTCCAGCTAGCACTTAGCAGAATGGCCGCATGGAAAACGGAATATACAAACTTTTCGCAATGGCTGTGACCTGCGAAGCAATTCCAAATTGAGATGAATACGGAGTGTGAAGTCCGCCAAAGGCGCAACCCCGGGTGCACGTGACTGCATAACTCCTGTTCCTATGGACTGCGTCCAACGAGGCCGTCGAACCACCGCTTGAGCATGGGTTCCTAGTACTTAAATTTACACACCACTACGAGGATCAACTCAACATGCAACTCAGCGACACGAGCTCCGAGGGCCCGAAGATGAAATGCAGCATTTGCATACATTTTCCATCACTCCAATATGTATAGGCGTAATTCTGACTTAATGGAGCATCAATAACTAGGATCGGATCTACATCCCAAACACCATTACCCGTCCTCAAATTCAAATTCTAGAACACAACCCGTCCCAATTTCCGACCGTCCCTCCCTCCGTTCAAGCGTAGGCCATCTGCTGCCGCTATGTGGCGCCACCCGTCTGGCCGGCCCGGCCTGGCACCGGGCGTCATCACCTGCCCGGCGCCCGCCTCCGCTCCGCTGCCACGCAATGCCCGCCCGACGGCCGTTTCCCTTCCCCACGCCGCGCCGGCAGCCAACCACCAGCCCGACCACCGGCCGCCAGCCGAGGGAGCGGCGGCCGGCCGAGCCAACTCAGCTCCGCGCCGGCGATCACGCCCGTCGCCGGCCGAGCCCGCCATGTTGGATTCCGGTGAAAATATCGCAGTTTGTGACCTTGCCACGGACTGCTGAAGTGCCTCAATGCAGGCACAAAGCCCAGACTTCAAGCGACATCGACCTGAAGTTTGCAGTGCCCTCACGATCTCTCCTGCAGTACTCGGGAACGAACAGCCCCGCACGCCTGTTCTAAATTTAACTTTATCCCAAAATTCGAACAAAGGACAGCACTATCGACCACAGCACAATCACACTAGGTGGGCAAGCAATGCAGAGACCACATTTCATGTTCTGCCGTTCACGATAAAGAAAGTTAAAGGGTCGTTCAACGTAGCAGATGCCGTCTCCATGGGGCAAAGCATAGGCGGCATGGCACGGGCCAAGCCAACGGGCAGCGATGGATCTCCTATGCCACGGCCTGGTGGGCCGGCAAAACCAGACGTTCTTTAGGGATGAAAATACCACGTATTTCATGCATTCATGACACACAACAACCTGCCCACCGAACTCACAAAGAGCCAAACTACTTCTCTAAAATCTAGGAACACCGTACCACTGACACAGGCTAGGAAAAACGCAATTTAAAAACACCCTCGGCAGCACCCCTGCTTTCACAATGGCAGCCGTACAAAGTCAATGGAGACGGCTCGGAGAGCGACGCGTTGGGAAAATTCCGAAATAAAATAGGACCGATGTTACAAATTTTACCAAAAAGACACCAATCGCGAGGTAAGGTCCTCTTCTACCAAATTCTCAAATAAAACAGGCAGGTTGCCACAAAGAATTTCACTCACCAAAGCTTTTCCTGAGCCACCGATTCCCAATGCAACCCTATGGAGCTTCCACCACACAACAGCCGCCAGGCCGCTGCGTACAAAGTCTACGGGCCAATATGACGCCCCTGATTGGCTCCCCTTCAAACACCCCGCCACCAGTAACCAATGAGCAATGAGAACCTCCCGAGGTGAAAAATATAGTTTCAAACTGCTGCATGTTCTAAGGATTTAGTCCACCTAATTAGCACTTCATTTGGCATCGTTGCTTCATTTTACTATTTTTCATAATGTAAATGGAAAAAGTTTGATGTTTTCAGGCTCTATGGTAACTGATTGCAAGCAGTACGCCAGCCGATGAAATGTTCATCCACTGATCAGGAAGTTCTTGAAATATCGTGCCGTTAATAACGAGCTCTAGAAAGATGCAAATACTATATCAATGAGATGAAAATTATTTTCTGCTTTATTTTGGTGCCTTCCAATTTTCCAAAACCTTGAACGCATTTCACAAAGCAAGTCCTCACCAGGCGACTTCGCTATCCAATGCGCATGCGCATAAGTGATGCCAGTTTGTGGATGCCAGATGCCAGGTGGGGAAACTCGCTATAAGCGGGCAACGTGGCGCGGTTCTCATTACTGCCACGAGAAGCGTGCCCTCTGTGGCGAAAGCAACGGCGGCAGGGGATGGTGGGCGGCGTGTGCCCCCTCATGTTCCGAGACCCGAAGTGTCCCACGGGACCAACAATTCAAGGCCAGAAGTGCTGGCCGAAAGCCGGACCCGGCCAGGGGGGCCAGGATCTTCGAACATCGAATTAGAAGGACTTTCGCCGATAAAGATCTGTAGCCGCGGCGAAAATAGGAGACCCTTTTGGGGTCAGGGACCACCGACACCAAACAGTCACGGCCGTGTCGGCCTGGGCGTCCATTCTCGAAGCAAAAATGAAGCCAGGGACCGTGAATGTCAGAAGAGTTCTTCATTGGTCCAGACTCCCCAGGCAGTTCCGGATGGGGTCCGTTGTCGGTCAGGGGGCCCCCAGCGCCTAATATGGGGTCCTGTAGCAGCAAGGGCCAGACATCAGTCATGTTCTGAACAGGGACAGGACAGGACTCCGAATGTCAGAGAATCTTTTATATGGGCAGGGGACCTGAAAATGAAAGCATATATCATAATGATAACAAAAGGGCTCGCTATGAGGCAACGGAAAGCTGCTGAGCCAGACAGGAACGAGTAAGATGTCCTTCGCCCCGTCTTGAACAGGGGCTCCATAAGCCGAACTGAAATCCCTGTGACTACTATTGCATTCCCGTGCCGGTAAATGGTCCTTCTGCATCAGTGTGTTGTGGCGGGGGGGGGGGGGGCTGCGTCGATCCGGGGCTACCTACTCTGACCAGAGAGCATCGTGACACGGAGCGGGGGGGGGGGGGGAGGGGGATGAACGAAACACCATTCTGAAGAAATTCGAATAGACCGTGTGGGTCCAACCCCCGCGTTGTCAACAAGGAAACATGTAAGACCCCGGGCTGGAATTGAAAGACCCTTCATCCCCTGACCGGAAAAAAACATAACTTCCCTCTAGTGAGATTCTAGACGAGGTTCTTTGATTTTGAGTTCAACGTTCCACTAAAAGCTAGCCGAAAGCAACAACTTTTTACTTTCTGTTTTCTTAGTGAATGTCAACCACTGTGCTAACAGGAAGGAAATAATGTTTACCACTGATAGAACCACTGGCGCCGCCGATCTGCCACTGGCAAAAAGCCTGGTCTTGTAACCAAAAGACCTCGTTTCTTGATCCAGCCATTATCGGAATCCATTAACACCGGACGACAGCCGTAGAATGAACCGGTTGAAACGTTGAGCAGATATTTAAACGCTAGACAAGGACAATAGTCCGAACAATTATTCCTTCCAAAACTGCTTTGTGGATGCTAATGATAATGTTCACAGAAAGGTGTAACTCGAACCGTTTTATGATCCGCGTGCGCCGGGAAGTTAAGATACGTTTACATCAGGTCGCCTTTATCATTTAACTGGGTTTGATCACGTATCTGCTAATTTTCCTTCACGACATTGCGTAAGTCTTACTGACGTTTTCCAGGGACGTGGTGCCCGTCTTAACGTTACGGCATTCGTATTCAAGCATGACTTTAAACAGTCACACGCATTTCTGGTTTCCCACGAGTAGAGCAGCGGCCTTATGAGGCACTTTACGACTGTTCATGTCATTCAATCAATTCTGATCCTCTCATTGCACACAAGTTGAAGAAACCACCGAAATTGCAAAGGAATTGACTCCAATCGGTCCCCAAAAAGGCACGGGACTGAATCCGCCTGTGGTTGATGTGACGTCATTAAAACCCTAGCGGCGGCCGGCTGCAGCTCTGCCTTTAACACCATAGAAAATGTGTTATGGAATCCTCGGCCTGTACTTCCAAAACGGCGTGGGACTGGGTCTTGAAACTTGGACGCTGTTCTTTACAAGCCTCCTCATATATCTCACACGAATGCTAGACCCTAGTGCGCGGGCGTGTGCCCTAATCAGCCCTCAGAAACATGTGCCTCCACCCTTATGAACTTAACGACAGATATTAATAAGTACGTGAATCCATGTTGACAATTATGTATCCCAGATAGATACTTAGAATAAGAAAATCTCTCGCGTGAGATGCTGTTTTACGTCACAGAAAAAAATTCACCTGCTGTATACTGCTTGCTTTAACCTAGCTTACTTCTGGGCTTTGGAAATCATCACCCGCCCCACAACTATCATTATCATTGCGGCTACCTTCGGTATAGTTCTTGAGTCGGCCTGCTTTAACGAACTATTTTGACAAATTTTGCTCTTGTTATCTCTGTGACACTACTCACTTTATTCTGCTATTCATTTTTGAGACATGGCTCATTTCATGTACGCATTTACGCCGAGCGGGGTTGCGTACAAGCAAATGTATTAGGTTCACCACGGCCGGATCGTGTTACAGTAGCAGGGGACACCAAAGAGGGAACAGCCCCAAGATAAGGCGTTCGTCACTTTCATTGTAAAAACGAGTACGAACGATGGACACAAATTAGCACGCACCATTCAAGAAGAGGTGCCGAACAGTATATTGACGGTAATTTGTTTGGGAGGGACATACGGGACTGCAGCTGAGTTGCATGATTGCTGCCATTCTTTTGCCTTTTGAGCCGCTCTTTTCACTCGTTTCTGCTGGCATGGAGACCTTGGTCTTGCCGTGCTAATCACGTGCGTACATCGCCAATGCCTGAGATGTCCGAGTGACAGCCAAGCTGCTGGTCTGAGTGGCAGCTAAGGCGACGACAAGAAAACCCGAAACCGCACGAACACAGAATGTTTAGCGAACGCCATATCTGTTGCCGTTCGTCGCGAACGAAAGCGGACTGCCAATCTCCCTCTCAAAAGATTAAAAAGGAATAAAGTTGTACGGGGATAAGCGTCCAATGAGAAACGATTCAAAAGGAAAATGTCAACAGGGATTTAGTCGCATTGGAAGGAAGTGGGCTTGAAAAAATGGAAGGACTTAAAGACGAGAGAAATAAGTCTAAGTACCAGGACAAAAAAATAAAATTATGAAGGGATGAAAGCCAGCAGGAAGTCCACGAAGCACTTTCGAGTGCTTGTGATGGCACGCTCAGTTTTATAAGCACAGCTTGCAACGCCGAGTACTAACAATTTTATGAATATTTCCTCTATAACGCTGTTTAACCTTACCCCCTGGTATGTGGAAGGTGATACCTCGGCATAGGAACTCTGAACTCATTAAACCGAACACAGGGGTGTAGTTTTCTGTTCAATTGGGGGCAGGCTGGAGCCCCTTTTCCCGACTTTGGAAAGAAAGTGGTTTGATTCCGGACAGCAATCCATTTATTGGCGTTTTGAAGGTAGGATGTGTCATTTTCCCCGCCCCACCCCCTCCCCTGATTCATTTTGCGAAACTACGCCCCTGGCCGAATAATCAGGAGCTTATAAAAGCTTTCCTCGCTAATGTAAAGCACCATAGTTTGTGTCTAGAACGAGTCCACACGATGGAGTGTCTTTAAGGTTTCATAACGCATACACAGGGTCGATGCCGACTCAGTCGCTCAACCGACACAACGCACAACGCACAACAGACCGTCCGCTGTCCTGCGACCGCCCCACGTGCCCGCTACTCTCCCTTTCCCCCATCGCCGCCGGGGATACTGGATTCGTGCGCCGCCGCGCAGCCGACGAGGGCCAGGTGGTGTTGCAAAGCAGTTGATGCTCTTATTTTAGCGTCTCATTTAAGTTCTTAGGTCGGAGCTTTCTTCGAAGATTACCTTGAAATTAGTCTGGTCTCATCCCGCCTGTTTTAATAGCGTCATGCTCCGTTCAGCCCCGTCTGATCTCGTCCCGTTCCGTCCGAATCCGTCCGGTTTTGTCTGGTTCCGTCCCGTCCCGTTTGTTCCCGTCTGATCCCGTTTTGCCCCGTCCGGTTCCTTTCACCACGTCCGGTGACGTCCGATGCTGTGTGATCGCGCTCAGTCACGCGTGGTCCCGTCTGGCGCCGCTCGCTTCGGTCCGGTCGCATCCTAACTGGTCTCATCTGGTCAAATCCGACTCCATCTGATGAGGTCCCATCTCGCTGTTCTCGTCCGGGTCCTTCTGGTGTGATCTGGTCCCGCACGGTCCCGTCCGCTCCCGTCCGTCCCGTCCAGTCCCTCTCAGTCCCACCTGTCTCTTCCGTGGTCACATCTTTATCCGCCTCTCATTCCAGGCGCAAAATCCTGATGACTTTTGTTTTTTGAAGTCATTTTGGCGCTGGTGTTTTCAAATATCTGAGTTGATTTTAACCCTGCCAATCTTCTGTCTTTTAAGTTATTCTGTTTTTACTTTAACACAACTGGTGGCAAAGTGACAAACGAACAGCGGTTCGTGAACTGTTCATGAACTGTTTGGCGGGCACCCAACTTGAGTGATATCGAACTATAACTATGAGTGATATCGAATAAGTTTGCTTACTTATTGAATCCAAGGTGCCGTGTGCTAATGGTTACGACGACCTGTCACCCGTGCGTGCGAACCGTTTGGCTTGGTTTGATTTGCTGGAATCAGTGCCCTTTCGTTCCGCA